AATTTTCCTTGAAAAACCAGGGAAAAGGCGAATAGAGTAAGTTTTTGATTTATTTGAGGCAATTACTAAAGAATACCTAGGATCATGTCATGGATCAGACGTCCAAGATTAACTTGTTACAAGTGAGAATCTTATGATAGATGATCAAAATGTAGAAACCAAACCAACCATTTGAATCAACCTAAGCTGATGAGAAGTGAATCCCTTCAGACTAAGAGCTGGACGCATCTTGAAGAAAATGGTCTGTAACTGTTGGGAATCATTTGAGTTTTGCTGAAATTGGAATCCTCCATTACTACTTCTCAAGTTCAACAAACCATCACGCCATTCAGTGAATGTGTTCTTCATCCGTTCAGCAAAGAGAGTATCAGCGATCTTCACCATTGGCATGTGAACAGGTTCTTTCAAGTTTGAATATCTAGTCAACAACTCATCATTATATGTCAAGCTCAAACGTCTCAGTGCCTCACTTTCCTGCCCTCTGGATAAATAAGATATTCCTGAGATTGTACAACCAATTAACTTTACAAACTGAAACCATCATAAAAGAAAAGCCAGGGAAGGAACTTTCACACCAGTTACAAAACCTTAACCATTACTTCAAAAAGAAATCAAACAATTTCACTACCTTCATGTATGCAGACATTAAAATCGAACTGGTATTTAGCTAAGAAATCAATCGATGTTGTCTGGCAGAGAAACTCATAAGTGGGGCCTGCAACTGGAAGCTCTTGACGCGGAAAAATGTAAAAATTGTGCCTGTCAGCACACCCATATTGTTACACAATAAAAACCACATAAAAAGTTCAAAACCAAAATACCATCGTTGCACAAACTTATTCATCTCGGAGATTGTGTGCGTTCGCATTTGCTTCAAACTATCCTAGACAGCAAACAAATGTATAATATAATTTACAAACCCGGCAAAGCAACCCATTTTACGTAAAAAAAAAAAATTCAAATTTTCAGTATTTTTCTCCTTTTAAAGTTCAATTACCTACATTGACCAGAAAATCCAGTCACATTTAGCTTTTCAATCCAAATATCATGATCAAAGCAAAAGACTCAAACTTTAAATTTTCTCAGCAAACTAACAGGTAATTGCAACAGAGAGAGAAGCAATTGCCAATGTTTCAATAACAATAAAATCAAGCAAAATCCCTAATTTTTTTTTTTACTTTCTTCCTCATTTTCTCGGCAGCCAAACAGAGCACAAACGAAAAACAAGAAAGGAAAAGCAAAAGGCACATACGGATGAGCAATGAAGGAGCGCTTGGAGGAGTCCCAGCAGAAGGGGCAAACTCCGAACTGAAGCACGGCGAACTTCTCGGCCGAGTCCTTGACCTTGAGGTAGCAGACGTCGGCGCGGTCGAACTCCAGGGAGTCACGCCACGGAGCGCTGGTGATTCCGGTCATCTCGAGATCGATGGCCACGAAGTCGGCGGCGGCGACATGGCGGCGCAGGTCGGCGAGGGCCGGCTCGAAGTTGGATTTGGTCACGTTTTTTAGAGGGAAGGTGGAGGATTGTTGTTGTACGGACGACGAAGAGGAAGAGGAGTGGGATAGGGCACATGATATCGCACGTGACAGCGCCCTCGCCGGGCGGTGAGTGTTCATTTTCTGAGCATTTGCCAGAGCTTTCGGCCCTCGGCGTGCAGAGAGTTTTAGACCCAAGGTAGAAGATGAAATGATACCGCCTACGACGTCGTTTCTCCAATTTTCGATAATCTTTCCTTGGGGAATCGGGTTGGGTAAGCCCAACTTGAAAGCTATATAGAAGGGCCCAGCCAACAAAGGGAGCTGTAAGTTTTGTTTTCTGTCTGGATAAATGATTTTTACGCATCATTTTCTCTCTTCACACCTTCATCCAAAATATGTACATTGCCGTTATTGTATGATTCAGCTACTTCTTATTTTGATTCTGATTACGAATTAGCAAACGCATACTTTTGTGCTTAGAATTTATTGCTACAATGAAGCTACAGTTTTAATTTACTTACATTCATAAAGCTCCAATTAAACGAGCAGCTAATGCCCCATCGAGGGGACGCTTTGCTAAGGGGTTGGAGAAATAGAGACGACTAATAAAGGGGACTCCCCCAAAAAATTAACACACTTGATGATGATGCACGATCTAATAGAGGCAGCTCTATTATTGTATATAAGACTCACTTGTTATCATATTAAAAATTGTGTCAGCAAGTGTATCAATTTTGTATGTCTAAATAACATTCTCATTATTCAGTGAGGGAAAAAAGTAAGGACCAAGAACAAGCCATTGCTAGAGCACGTCCATATTGAAGGTTTTGAGGTTAATTTACAAGAAAGGAATAACTTACGTTAATGGCATACACTTTTTGTGCTTGCTTTTTTCATTGTGATGAAGGGGAAAAGATGTTTTGGGAATATGTAAAGTAACAAGAAACTTGTGGTTTGGTTGTAGAGAGCTATACATATTTATTGTTAAATCTTTTTTGTGTTAGGCACATCTTATTGACGAATGATCTTTCAGTATGTTAAGAAATGGCTTGATACACTAAGTGTAATAATACAATTGGATATAAATTAAAAAAAAAAAAAAGTTGCGACCAATTGTATTGATACCTGATGCACCAATCGTGTTTTGGACACATCGAAACATTTCTCTTAAGTGACGACTAGGACTAGACAATATATGGCATGATTCCTGAATATGTAAGTGCAACATGGACAACACAAAAGTGTATGCAGGGTTGGAGTATTTATAATTTAAAATTTCTCTTAAGTCCAACTATTTTGCCAAACTTTTATGTAACTTTCTTCCATGAAATGAATTATAAAGATAGATTGTCAAAGTATAAATTTTATATGAAACACTTAGAGGGAGTTGGAGAAAAAAAACTTATCAGTTGGTAACTTGATGTTTTTTTAACTGATTTTTAGTTTTGAAATCTTCAATCTCTCTGCCATTCTCTAATTTATTATGAAATAGACTTAAAACTCAAGTGGTAAGACACCTATTCTTGTGTTTAGTTTCCTCGCCTCTTAAGAGATAAGTCGTAATTCACTATTTATTAATACAAACTATATTATTCTCTAATTTACACTAAAAAGGAGGAAAATTCTAAATTTGAAATACAGTAAATTAACCATCATGGGGTGGTCTAGTGGTTGGGGACAAATTACAGACTCGTATTTCACACGACACGTCCTGTATTCTATTTTTGAAGCTGATGAATCACACGAGTGGTGCCCCAGGGAGGCTAAAATGCCTTTGAGAGTCTTTTAGACTTTCAAAGAGTGGACTGTCACAACGAAGCAACCAACTGGTCCCTTTTAATAAAAGAAACACAATAAAGTTAGAAGATGAAAACCCTAACCACAAAATAATCCACTACTTACAATAGTAAATCATTACTAATACTAATATTAATTTTTTTAACAGACAATAGTATCTACATTAAAGGGTGGGAGAGTAGACTTTTACAATGGATTTGCCATAACAATGTGGTTCAACTTTGCCTTTGGCGATAATCGAATTTAAGACCTCTTACTTACAAATGAAGATGAATACTACTAATCTCAAGTACTAAATGATACTAATAGCAACATTATTTACAATCTTATATGTTCATACTCTATATGCACTCAACTTCATCCTTTTATTCCTACAATTGGTCATCATTCAACAAAGCCCCACATGATGACCCTCCAAATGTCACCATTTAGGACGTCCAAATTTTGTCCATGTTTCCAATTTTACTTGTTTTCTTTCACCAAAAAGAAAAAAAAAAAAGCATATTTGGGTTCAATGCTTTGGTTGGTATTGGAATAAAGTTGTCAACCTCCGGAAACTCTGTTCCTTCGCAATTAAGAAAGTCCCAAAAGTAGAGAGCCGAAACATGTACACACACTGCTAGTCACCACTAGCCATTTTCGATTTTACCAAGGAAACACACATCATTGCTTTTTTTTTTTTCTTTCCTTTTCTTTTCTCTTCCCCTATACGAAAAGAGATTTTTCAGTGTCTCAAAAAAATTAAATATCATAATATAATAATTTGAAATTTGAAAAAAAAAATTTCAATCAATTAAGTCGTGTTCCCGACATACTAGAAAAATTCTCCGTAAGTTATATACCATTTTCACAAATGCAAACTTGATTGACAATCAAAATATGTACAGTTTCTTACAATAAATCAAATTTTTATGAATTTATTTGGTGGCGCTTTTGTGTGATAAACATGATAAAACAAGTATAAATTAGGCACAAAGAGGTTTATTGGAGAAATTATATGGGTGATGTTAGTAAAAAATCAGAAACCAACAAAAGTAAAAGATCAAAACAAAGAACAAAAGATCAAACACCATTTTTGGTCTGAATTTAGCAAATATTTACTTAGAAGGATATTGTAGCAAATTTTGATTCAAACATTGCTTAGTGAGAAAAAGAATTAATATTGTAATACAATTTATTTATTTTTCTGGATAATAATAAAAAACATAATTTAGAAAAAAAATTAAGCTACTTAACAAGCTGGACATAATTACAATTATACTTTTTGGACATCAAACAAGTTAATAATAGGGATGTTAACACAATAATCTAGAGTATTGTGTTTTTTTGTCATATTAAATTTAAATTATCTTATTCGTAGTATGAAGATTTTCATGATGGAGATGTGAGTTAAGTAAATGTGCTTATTTGCCACATCCAATTCAATTATCTTACTCGTTTAGTGAACTTGATGTACGTTAGACCAATTATCTAAATTATTGTCATATCCAATTCAAATTATCTTACTCTTAATAGAAAAAAGACTTTTACGACACAATTACATTATCACCGTGATTTCGTACTAATGGTATGGTCTCAATAAAGAGAATGAGAGCACAATATATATTTAATTATCTTATTTTATTTTTTATGCAATTTTTTTATTTTTTATTTTTATCTCCTCCCTTTATCTATCTCTGTTTCTTTTTTATTTTCCGAATTTTCCTGTAATTTCCTGCCCCCTCTATATATGCCACACTCTAGCTTCTTTCTCAGTTATTCATTTCTTCTCCAATTCTCTGCTTCCCTTTCTGTCTCTGTGCGATCCTCATCAAAACCCTAATCTTGATCGCGAAGAAGCTCAAATTTCCTCTGATCACTCTCGAAAAATCGAAGTTTGACGATCCGATCGCCGTCAAACCGCCCCTACAAAACGTTCCTCACTTCAATTTTAGTTGCCGCAGAATTTTAATTTCCCCAATTCAGTCTCTGCTCTTCGATCAATTCTTGGTTTTTTAGTGATTGATCGGGTACCAATTCAAGGCGGTTCTCAATCGTGCAATGCTTTCAGTTCCAATATGAAGTTAAAGAGAAGGAGGGCGGTTGAAGTGGTCAGTATATTTCACCTGTGGAATCGATTAGATTCTTTTATGCATACATGCGCATAATATATATATATATATATATATATGTATGTATGTGTGTACATGATTAAAGTACTGGGTTTTCCCTATGTTTTGATTTCGAGAAGTTGATGGTTTTGGGATATGTTCTTTTTCTCCATTTTCTCATTTCCCAGTGAGTGGCACTTTTGTATGCAATTGCTTATATAATTCGTTTTGGGCGTCTATCAATTTGATGTTTTCTTTGGTTGTTTAACTAGGGACTGATACAAGATAAGAAAGTTTAAATTTTTTTACCTTTTTATTGAATTGTTTATATAATTCGGAGTACGAAAATGCAAACATATTCAGCTTATGAAGTGAGATTTTTGCATGAGGATTGCAACCAATACTAGGAAGATCTTAGAGATATGATTGTACATGTTTCATGACCAAACCAGTTGACTAGAATAGTTTCATTATTGTTTCTTAGTTCAAAGAGTTATTTTCTCCATCGAATGTCTATATGACTTTATATGTTTTTGTTGAAATTGCTAATATTGAGAGAGAGAAGAAGAGGAGGTGGCAGGGGGTTTGGTCGGTCCGTCAGTCTGTTTATCAGTGTGTTAACGTTCATGGAGCAAATGTCATGCATGACAGATTATTTTGTCGAAAAAGAAGTTTTAATCTTTTTATAAGGAGGCAATATCTAAATGGAACAAGATTAATTGGTTTCGACATTTATGCTTTAATGTTTCGTAGAAAATGTGTGGAAACTGGATAATTGTTACAGCAAGGTGAGGTTCGGAGTTCGTCGTTTTCTTTAAGACTTTCGCTATGCATTAAAATATGTGTGAAGTTAGGAGTTCGTTGTTTTCTTTAAGACTTTTGCTATGCATAATATGTGGGACTTAGATGCATGAATTGTTTTCAAGTTATAAATTTAGTACATTCACATCACACAGATTAAAATTTTGCTCAAACAGATACTGTGCTTAGCTAAAAGTGTGAGATGAAATGGTGAGTGCGTGAATGATCTTAGTTCCTTATATGCATCTCTTTGAAGACGTCACTCTTAAGATTTTCAGTAATTAAATTTTATTAAGTGAACGTAATCATATTATGTTAAGGCTCATTAAGGTCAATCCAAGCCACCTCAATCCTTTCTTTAAAGGTACCAGACAAGTGTGGCACTATTAACAACATTTTAACTTGTGTGCTTCTTGAAACTTTTTGACATTAGTTTCAATGTTGTTTATTTCCTGTTGGTAGCATGGTGACTTCTAACAAAGTGATAGGGGGTAATGTGTGTTAAAACAAATTATCTCTAGGATATGGTCTTGTTTGCACTATGTTGTGTGTACCCTTCTCATTGTTTGCACACCTTGTACATCCCTTATTGCACTTGAAGAACTTATTGTTTACAAATAAGTCATCTATTTCTTGTTTATTTGTTGTCTCTGTGGTACATGGGTACTAATTTTATATAAAAGCAATTTGGCGAGTCTGCAAAGTACTAACAACTATTTGTACTTTTTGTATGGTCTTGTTTTGTTTCAGCCCCCAAAAATTAGATCCTTCATCAATAGGGTCACTGCTGTTCCCTCTGAGAATATAGAGGAACCTCTGAAAGGTTTCATCTGGGAGTTCGATAAGGTGATTTTATTACCTTTAACTGTTACATTAATACAGTTATTTACATGCAATATGATTTATATGCTTTTATTTCTGGTGCAGGGAGATTTCCATCATTGGGTTGATCTTTTAACCATTTTGATTCATTTTTTGAGAAGCACATAAAATCCAGGAAGGATTTGCAGGTTGATGATAATTTTCTAGAGACTGATCCTCCGTTTCCAAGAGAAGCTGTTCTTCAAGTTCTCCGTGTAATAAGGATAATTTTGGAGAATTGCACAAATAAGCACTTCTACAGTTCTTATGAGGTAAAATTTCCATCATTCACCTCTCCGTCGTTGGTGCGTAATTTTCAGTTGTTTATTATTAGTTAGTTTTTATTCCTTCTAGATATACAATTATACCATTATTGCTTTTTGGGGTATTGTATATGGGATGAAGGCTTATTTTTAGCTGGGTTGTGATAATTAACAACTCTGATTATTGTGCATTTGATTGTGTTAGTTTTTTTTCTTTACATCAGTCAATATCATTTATTTTCAATTCCTCCTTTTCCCATTCATTAGTTTTATGTCTTTGTTTCACATGTTATTGCAGCAGCATCTTTCATCTCTGCTTGCTTGCACTGATGCGGATGTGGCTGAGGGTTGCCTGCAGACATTGGCTGCATTTTTAAAGAAAACAGTTGGAAAGTATTCCATTAGAGATGCTGCACTAAATTCAAAGTTATTCGCTCTTGCACAAGGTTGGGGGGGAAAGAAGAGGGTCTTGGATTAATTGCTAGTGTAATACAGAATGATTGTGACCCTGTTGCTTACAAGTTAGGCTGCACCCTTCATCTTGAGTTCTATGCATCAAATGATTCAACAGGCGACATCCCTGCCAACCAAGGTTTACAAATCATTCACTTACCTAACATCAATACTCATCCAGAGACGGATCTTGAGCTTTTGTGTAAGTTAATTGCCGAGTACAAAGTACCCTCTAGCTTAAGATTTTCTTTATTGACAAGATTGCGGTTTGCAAGGGCTTTTGGCTCTGTAGCTACTCGGCAGCAGTATGCATGCATCCGCTTGTATGCCTTCATAGTTCTTGTTCAAGCAAATAGTGATGCTGACGACCTTGTTTCTTTCTTCAACACTGAACCTGAGTTTATCAATGAATTAGTGTCGTTGTTGAGCTTTGAGGATGTGGTTCCTGAGAAAATTCGAATTCTCTGTCTTCTTTCACTGGTTGCTCTTTGTCAAGATCGATCCCGGCAGCCTACTGTTTTGACTGCTGTCACATCTGGTGGGCATCGTGGTATCCTGTCCAGTCTCATGCAGAAGGCCATTGATTTTGTCACCAAAGATACGTCAAAGTGGTCTGTTGTTTTTGCTGAGGCTCTATTATCTCTTGTCACAGTTTTGGTGTCATCATCATCAGGTTGTTCAGCCATGCGTGAAGCTGGTTTTATTCCCACCCTTCTGCCTTTGCTTAAAGATACAAACCCGCAACACCTTCATTTGGTCAGCACATCTGTGCACATTTTAGAAGCTTTTATGGATTACAGTAATCCTGCTGCTGCATTGTTTCGGGATTTGGGTGGTTTAGACGATACAATCTCTCGCCTACAGGTGGAAGTGTCTCATGTAGAAAATGGCTCAAAGCATGAAGATGATGATTCTGACATCATTGGGAGTAGTGCACAAGTAGCTGTAGGAACTTCTACAGAGCTAGACAGCATGCAGCCTTTGTATTCAGAACCACTGGTTTCATATCACAGACGATTGCTTATGAAAGCTCTATTGCGTGCTATATCCCTGGGGACTTATGCCCCTGGAAGTACTGCTCGTGTTTATGGCTCAGAGGAGAGTCTATTGCCACAATGCTTATGCATAATATTTAAAAGGGCAAAGGATTTTGGTGGTGGGGTATTCTCACTTGCGGCAACTGTCATGAGTGATCTAATACACAAAGATCCTACCTGTTTTCCAGTTTTAGATGCAGCAGGCCTTCCTTCTGCCTTCTTGGATGCTATAATGGATGGTGTTCTTTGCTCTGCAGAAGCCATTACATGCATACCACAGTGTCTAGATGCCCTATGTTTAAATACTACTAATGGTCTTCAGGTTGTGAAAGATCGCAATGCTTTGAGGTGCTTTGTGAAGATATTTACTTCAAGAACTTATCTGAAGGCCCTGACCAGTGACACACCAGGTTCGTTATCTAGTGGATTGGATGAGTTAATGCGCCATGCTTCATCATTGCGTGGGCCTGGAGTGGATATGCTGATTGAGATCTTAAATGCCATTTCAAAAATTGGACATGGGGTTGATGCTTCATACATGTCAATTGATCCTTTGGGCTCTTCTACTCCTGTTCCCATGGAAACAGATGGAGAAGAGAGGAATTTGGTCGTGTCTGATAACGGGGAATCATCCAAAACGGAAAGTTCAGAGCAGACTGTGGAGCCACCTTCTGATTCTTCAGTGGGGAATGTTGAAATATTTCTTCCTGACTGTGTGAGCAATGTTGCTCGTCTTCTTGACACAATACTTCAGAATGGTGACACATGTCGTATATTTGTGGAGAAGAAGGGGGTTGAAGCTGTCCTGCAGTTATTTACCTTGCCCTTGATGCCTCCTTCTGTTTCAGTTGGCCAGAGTATTTCTGTCGCATTTAAGAACTTCTCACCACAACATTCTGCTTCTTTGGCTCGGGCAGTATGTTTATTCTTGAGAGAGCATCTGAAATCAACAAATGAACTTTTTGTTTCAGTTGGAGGGACTCAACTTGCTTTGGTGGAATCTGCGAAGCAAACTCAAGTTTTGAGACATCTTTCCAGTCTTGAAGCTATTCTGTCTCTGTCTAATGTTCTGTTGAAAGGGACGACTACTGTGGTGTCTGAACTGGGTGCAGCAGATGCTGATGTATTGAAAGATCTCGGGAACACCTACCGGGAAATAATTTGGCAAATCTCTCTGTGCAATGATGTCAAGTCAGATGAGAAGACCAATGCTGAACAAGAACCAGAGAGTGCTGAGGCAGCTCCGACTAATGCTTCTGGAAGGGAGAGTGATGATGATGCTAATATTCCAATGGTGAGATATATGAACCCAGTTTCTATCAGGAATCAGCCCTTGTGGGGTGGAGAACGCGAGTTTCTATCAGTTGTTCGCTCTGGTGAAGGTTTGCACCGTCGTAGTCGTCATGGTTTTACACGCATAAGGGGTGGAAGGACAGGCCGGCATTTGGAGGCTTTAAATGTTGATTCTGAATCTTCCTCAACAGTATCAGAGACATATACTTCCCAAGATTTGAAAAAGAAAAGTCCTGATGTTCTTGTGATAGAAATCCTCAACAAGCTGGCTTCCACACTGCGTTCCTTCTTCACAGCTCTTGTCAAGGGATTCACATCACCAAATCGGCGTAGAGTTGACTCTGGGTTGTTGAGTTTGGTTTCCAAGACTCTTGGAACTGCCCTAGCTAAAATATTTCTCGAGTCTCTTAGCTTCTCTGGGCATTCTACATCAACTGGGCTCGATACATCACTGTCAGTCAAGTGTCGATATCTTGGCAAAGTTGTCGATGATATGGTATCGCTTACATTTGACAGCAGGCGACGTACTTGTTATACTGCAACAGTCAATAATTTCTATGTCCATGGTACTTTTAAGGAGCTGCTTACAACATTTGAAGCTACTAGTCAGTTGTTGTGGACACTACCATACTCCGTGTCAACGTCAGGTATTGATCCTGAAAGGACAGGTGAAGGAAGTAAACTGTCCCACAGTTCGTGGCTGCTTGATACTTTACAGAGCTATTGCCGTGTGCTCGAGTATTTTGTTAATTCTTCTTTACTCTTATCCACAACCTCTGCTTCTCAAGCACAGTTGCTTGTTCAGCAGCCAGTTGCAGTTGGTTTGTCAATTGGGCTTTTCCCTGTGCCAAGGGAACCAGAAGTTTTTATTCGTATGCTGCAGTCTCAAGTTCTTGATGTGATACTTCCTGTCTGGAACCACCCTATGTTTCCAAATTGTAGTCCAGATTTCATTGCTTCTATTGTCTCGCTTGTCATGCATGTATATTCTGGTGTTGGAGATGTGAAGCAGAATCGCAGTGGCATTGCTGGAAGTACAAACCAGCGATTGACCCCACCACTTGATGAAAATACTATTACCACCATTGTTGAGATGGGTTTTCCAAGGGCTAGGGCAGAGGAAGCTCTTAGGCGGGTGGAAACAAATAGCGTTGAAATGGCCATGGAGTGGCTCTTTAGTCATCCTGAGGATCCTGTGCAGGATGATGATGAACTGGCTCGAGCACTTGCTCTTTCACTGGGAAATTCATCAGATGCATCTAAAGCTGAGAGTGTTGAAAAGTCTGTTGATGTGCTGGCAGAAGAGGGTTGTGTGAAAGCTCCTCCTGTTGATGATGTCCTTGCAGCGTCGGTTAAATTACTTCAAAGTAATGATACCATGGCATTCCCTTTGACAGATTTGCTTGTGACACTTAGCAACCAGAACAAAGGGGAAGACTGTCCAAGAGTTGTATCTTATCTTACTCAGCAGCTAAAGAATTGTCCATTGGATTTTTCTAATGATACCAGTGCGTTGAGTATGGTGTCGCATGTTATTGCATTACTTCTTTCTGAGGATGGAAGCACAAGGGAAGTCGCTGCACGGTATGGTATTGTGACTACTGCAACAGATATCTTGATGAACTTTAAGGGCAAAGATGAGTCAGGCAATGAGCTTCTTGTCCCAAAATGTATCAGTGCTCTGCTGCTTATTTTGGATAACATGTTGCAATCAAGGTCCAGAATTTCTGAAAAGGTTGAAGATACTCAGACAGGGCCTTTACCTGAATTATCTGGAGAGCGTATGTCAATCCCTGCATCAGATACAGAGAAAAAACAGCTTATGGATGCCTATGAAAAGGATTCTGCCACAGCATTTGAAAAAATATTGGGGAAATCTACCGGTTATTTGACTATGGAAGAGAGTCATAAAGTGCTAGCAGTTGCTTGTGACTTGATAAAGCAGCATGTCCCAGCAATGATCATGCAGGCTGTTTTACAATTATGTGCTCGCTTGACAAAAACTCATGCTCTAGCTTTACAATTCCTTGAAAAGGAGGCTTGGCAGCTCTATTTGGCCTTCCAAGAAGTTGTTTTTTCCCGGGATATGATACTGTTGCATCTGCTATTGTTCGCCATCTCCTTGAAGATCCACAGACACTGCAAACAGCAATGGAATTGGAGATTCGCCAAGCCCTGAGTGGAAACAGGCATGGTGGGCGCACTTCTGCACGAACATTCTTGACATCAATGGCACCTGTAATCTCTAGAGATCCAGTAGTTTTTATGAAAGCTGCTTCTGCAGTTTGTCAGTTGGAGACATCAGGAGGTAGAACCTTTGTTCTGTTATTGAAGGAAAAAGAGAAGGAAAAGGAAAAATCTAAAGCAGTAGGTGATGGGGCTGGATTATCTTCCAATGAGTGTGTACGGATTTCTGAAAATAAGATACATGATGGATCTGGTAAATGTGCAAAAAGTCACAAGAAGATCCCTGCCAATCTCACTCAAGTGATAGATCAGCTTCTTGAAATAGTCTTCAAATACCATTTCCCAAATAGCCTGGAAGACTATTCGAATAACCCATCCGCTATGGAAGTAGATGAACCCACTATGAAGGTGAAGGGTAAATCAAAGGTTGACGAGACAAGGAAAGTGGAGTCAGAATCTGAAAGATCTGCAGGGTTGGCTAAAGTTACCTTTGTTCTCAAATTACTGAGTGATATCCTTCTTATGTATGTACATGCAGTTGGGGTTATACTTAAACGGGATTTAGAAATGACTCAGTTGCGGGGATCTAATCAAACAGATGGTCTTGGACATGGTGGTATACTTCACCATGTAATTCATCGATTGCTTCCACTCACCATTGATAAGTCTGCTGGACCTGATGAATGGAGAGACAAACTGTCCGAAAAAGCTTCTTGGTTCCTGGTAGTTCTGTGTGGTCGTTCCAGTGAAGGGCGCAGACGAGTAATTAGTGAACTTGTAAAGGCTTTATCCTCGTTTTCGAATTTGGGATGTACTTCCACCAAGAGCATCTTATTACCGGATAAAAGCGTTTATGCTTTTGTTGATTTGGTGTATTCAATTTTGTCTAAAAATTCATCATCCAGCAACTTATCTGGTTCTGGGTTTTCACCAGACATAGCAAAAAGCATGATAGATGGGGGAATGATTCAGTGTCTGACTGGTATCTTCCGGGTGATTGACTTAGACCATCCTGATGCTCCCAAAACTGTGAATTTGATACTCAAGACGTTAGAAAGCCTAACAAGGGCTGCTAATGCTAGTGAGCAATACTTTAAATCTGATGAGACGGGCAAGAAAAAATCCACAGGGTTGAATGGAAGATCTGATGATCAGGTAACTGCCCCATCAGCTGATACTACTGTGGGGGATAATCAGAATGCAAGCAGTGAACAGGGTGTGAGAGACGTCATACAGGTTGTTCAAGGGGATCAAGGAACTTCTGAAAGTGAAGGTAATCCTGATGCAAATCCGAACCAGTTGGTGGAACTAGATATGAGGATAGAAGTTGAAGGACCAATAGCTTCTAATCCACCGATGGAGCTTGGGATGGATTTCATGCGTGAGGAGATGGATGAAGGTAATGTACTACACAACACTGATCAAATTGAGATGTCTTTTCGTGTTGAGAATAGGGCAGATGATGACATGGCTGATTTAGAAAACGACATGGGTGATGATGGTGAGGATGACGACGAGGGAGAGGACATGGCTGATTTAGAAAATGACATGGGTGATGATGGTGAGGATGATGAGGATGATGATGAGGGAGAGGATGAGGATGAGGATATAGCAGAGGACGGTGGTGGCATGATGTCACTTGCTGATACTGATGTGGAAGACCATGATGATACCGGCTTGGGAGATGGTTACAATGATGGGATGATTGATGAAGATGATGATGATTTTCATGAGAATCGTGTCATAGAAGTGAGATGGAGAGAAGCCCTTGATGGGCTTGATCATTTGCAGGTACTTGGACAACCTGGAGCTGGAACTGGTCTCATTGATGTTGCTGCTGAACCTTTTGAAGGTGTTAATGTGGATGACTTGTTTGGTCTGAGAAGGCCGATAGGTTTTGATCGCCGCCGTCAGACAAGTAGGTCTTCCTTTGAGCGATCTGTTGCAGAAGCAAATGGATTTCAACATCCTCTCCTTTTAAGACCATCCCAGTCTGGGGATTTGGTCTCAATGTGGTCAGCAGGTGGAAATTCATCCAGGGATTTAGAAGCTCTGTCATCAGGGAGCTTTGATGTTGCTCATTTCTACATGTTTGATGCTCCTGTTCTACCTTATGATCACGTACCAAGCAATCTTTTTGGTGACCGGTTGAGTGGTGCAGCACCCCCACCATTGACTGATTATTCAGTAGGTATGGACTCATTGCAGTTATCGGGGCGAAGAGGGCCAGGTGATGGTCGATGGACTGATGATGGCCAGCCTCAAGCAGGTCCTCAAGCTGCTGCTATTGCACAAGCAGTGGAGGAACACTTTATATCGCAATTACGCAGTCTTGCTCCAGCTGATATCCCTGCTGAACGACAGTCCCAGAACTCAGGAGTGCAGGAGAAACAGCCAGATCTCCCTCCTTTAAGTGATAGTCAAGTAGCAGGGGAGCGCAATGACAGCCATGAAAGAAACGAAGATCAGCGTCAAGATGGGGTTGATGAAACAACACATCAAGTTAACTCAAGTTCTAACACTGCTCCCTGTCAAGAACAAGTCAATCCAGAATCTATAGTCGAAGGTGCAGGGGAGTTCTTACAGGTACCTGAACCAATGTCAATTATGCCACCTTCAACTAACAGTACACCAAGCGATAGCATGGACATTGGTGATGGAAATGGTGCTGCTGGTGAGCAAGTAGGGTCGGTGGCAGGTTCTGTCAACTCGTCTGCAGAAATAAGTGCTGGTTTACAATGTGAACGGGGTTCTGTGCCTTCTAATCCCCATGATGTTACTGTGGAGGCTGTGGGTTATGATAGATCCTCAAGAGCAGAGGGTCAGGTTGGTAATGTGTCGGCAAGTTTGGGTTTCAATGTGCCTAATCCAGGTGATTCTCATACTTCTTTGGTGCCAACAAATATTGACATTGATATGAATTGCATTGGTGAAATAAATGAAATTGGCCATCCCATGCCTACTTTTGAAAATCGTACAGATGAACCATCAAGGGAAAACACAACTGTTGCTCCAGAAGCTAATCAGGCTGAACAAGATTTGAATAATGAGGCCGCTGGTGCTAATGCAATTGATCCGACCTTCTTGGAGGCTTTACCTGAATATTTGAGGGCCGAAGTTCTTGCTTCGCAACAAGCTCAGCCAGTTCAACCTCCATCTTCTGCGCCACCTTCTGCAGACGACATTGATCCTGAGTTTTTAGCAGCCCTTCCTCCAGATATCCAAGATGAAGTTTTGGCTCAACAAAGAGCACAAAGGGTTGCACATCAGGCTGAGGGACAACCAGTTGACATGGACAACGCTTCAATAATTGCTACTTTTCCTGCTGATTTACGTGAAGAGGTTTTCATCTGGAACTGCATCTTTCATGACCTTGATTGTAATGATTATTTGTCTTGCATATGTAATTTTTCTCTTGGTCCAGGTACTTTTAACTTCTTCAGAAGCAGTTCTGTCTGGATTGCCTTCTCCATTGCTCGCTGAAGCCCAAAGGCTAAGAGACCGAGCAATGAGTCATTATCAGGCTCGCAGCCTTTTTGGAACCAGCCAGAGGCTAAATAACCGGAGAAATGGATTGGGTTTTGATCGGCAGATGGTAATGGACAGAGGTGTTGGAGTCACAATTGGCCGGAGGGCAGTTTCTGCTCTTGCAGACAGCTTAAAGGTTAAGGAAATCGAAGGAGAGCCACTTCTGGATGCCGATGAATTGAAAGCTTTAATTAGGCTGTTACGATTAGCGCAGGTAAATTCATATTCCAATTAATGGTATTTGGACTGTTTATAACTGGTTATGAAAGTTTTATGTTTCGTTAAAATATGAATTTTAGGTTTTCTTTTAAAAAAATCCATATATGGTTAGAAAGTTTGGAGGTTTGAACAAATTTATGTGTACTATTCAAGTGTTAAAGCTCCTGTTGATGGAAATAATAATGTGTAAAAAACGTCATATGAAGAATTTTCGGTTGGCTGAAGAGTAGAAAACCAAGTGGGTTATATTTTCTCAATTTGTGCTTTAAAAGACCTCAAAATAACACATTATTTGAATATCGCATGTACACATACATGTACTACTTACTGTCACATAAAATCATTCATTAAATGACTATCTTCTGCTAACATGATCCATTTATTTTTTTGTGTGTGGTTAGCCACTTGGCAAAGGACTCTTGCAGAGGCTCTTGTTGAACTTATGTACCCATAGTGTTACACGAGCAATCTTAGTTCGTCATCTGCTTGATATGATCAAACCTGAGGCTGAGGGCTCAGTCGGTGGAGTAGCAGCTATTAATGCCCAAAGGCTTTACGGTTGCAATTCAAATGTTGTTTATGGGCGATCACAGTTGTTAGATGGTAAGTCATCTGACGCTCCAACAGTTATCTGCAATACATTTGTTTCTTCTATTTATGGACTAACAATTTGTTTGCTTTATATTCATTTTCGATAGGTCTTCCTCCCTTGGTGCTACGTCGAATTCTTGAGATCTTGACTTATTTGGCCACAAATCATTCTGCTGTGGCAAATATGTTATTTTTCTTTGATTTCTCTGGTGTTCCTGAGTCATTAAGCCCTATCCGTATGGAAACCAAGAAGGACAAAGGCAAGGAGAAAATTGGAGAAGGAGGATCTTCATCAAAACAGTCTGGAAACACCCAGGATGCGGACATTCCCCTGATATTGTTCCTGAAGCTCCTGGACCGACCTCATTATGGCACTGCTGATCTTGAGCAGGTACTACCTACTCTATGGTTAACCAGTTTAAAATGACCTCGTGGAGAGATTAGTTGCTGTTTGTCTATTCATTTAAAAGTGTAGTGTGTAAAATCCCTTGGTAGTTGTTAGGTATCCACATATTCAGTCGAAGAGATTAGTTGCTGTTTGTCTATTCATTTAAAAGTGTAGTGTGTAAAATCCCTTGGTAGTTGTTAGGTATCCACATATTCAGTACTTCGACTATACGTGAGAGCTTATATGAATTTAAGATTGGAGTAATTCATTGTTTGTAATGTCTGACTTGTTAACCATTCTGGACAAAGGCTAGTACCTGGTCCATAATTTTATTTCTCTCCTTAAAAATTAAGAAAAAAACTAAGCATATGGTAGAGAACGTGCGTACTGCTTGCCGTATCTCCTAGTTGTACATATGGAGTCATAATCTTGATTATTTTATTGCTGAAGCATGTCCTACAGCATGATCCTTTCAAAAAATTTATAATTCAGCACCATCTCATGTTTTTATGTTTTTTTTTTTTTTGTGTGCTACAGGTGATGGGCCTGCTTCAGGTTGTTGTGTATACTTCAGCTTCAAAATTAGAGGGCCAGTCTCAATCTGAGAGGGCAGATAAGCCAGTTGGTGAAGCTTCAGGAGATGGTCAAAAGGTTCCTCCTTTGGAATCAGAATCTAATCAGGGAGAGAAGCCTGTTAGTGGTGAATCATCAACTTCAGATGTAAAGAGGAGTACGGATACATATAATGTTTTCTTGAAGCTACCAGGATCTGATCTACACAATCTTTGCAGCCTTCTTGGTCGTGAGGGGTATTATTAGCTCACTAATTCTTATATGTTCATTCTTTGAACGTAGATGCAGTATTTGTCAGATTAACTACTCTCTTCTTTGTGCTACTATATGAACTGTGTTTTTATGAGTGTCTAATCTGAGTCCATTTACTTGATTAGGCTTTCAGATAAACTTTATATGCTTGCTGGTGAGGTCTTGAAGAAGTTGGCCTCAGTTGCAGCACCCCATCGAAAACTATTTGTCTCAGCGCTGTCAGAACTGGCTCATCGTTTGAGTGCCTCAGCTGTTGGTGAGCTTGTCACTCTCCGGAACACACATATGCTGGGTTTGAGTGCTGGATCAATGGCTGGGTTAGCAATCTTACGTGTATTACAAGCACTTTGCTCTCTCACTTCACCTAGGGCTGGTGAGAATTCAGGATTGGAGAATGATGCGGAGCAGGAGGAGCATGCCATCATGTGGAAGCTAAATGCTGCACTTGAGCCACTGTGGCTAGAATTAAGCAACTGTATAAGTGCGACTGAAACAGCACTGGGTCAGAGTTCTTTTTGTCGAACCATGTCTATAGTAAATACTGGGGACCATGCACAGGGTTCTTCTTCGTCTCCTCTCCCTCCTGGAACCCAGAGACTCCTGCCTTTTATGGAGGCCTTTTTTGTTCTGTGTGAAAAGCTACAAGAGAACCTCTCTACTATGCTGCAAGACCAGGCGAATGTGACTGCAAGAGAAGTCAAAGAGTCCTCTGGAAACTCAGATCCTTCAACTACCAAGTGCCACAGTTGTGGGGATTCTCAGAGAAAGCTTGATGGTGCTATTACATTTACAAAGTTCGCTGAGAAGCATCGCCGGCTTTTAAATGCTTTTATCAGACAGAATCCAGGTTTGTTGGAGAAATCCCTTACTATGATGCTGAAGGCACCAAGGCTAATTGATTTTGATAACAAAAGAGCGTATTTCCGGTCAAGAATTAGGCAGCAGCATGAGCAACATCTCTCTGGTCCTCTGAGAATAAGTGTTCGGCGGGCTTATGTTTTGGAGGATTCTTATAATCAGTTGCGCATGCGGCCTACTCTGGACATGAAGGGACGATTAAATGTCCAATTCCAAGGGGAAGAGGGTATTGATGCTGGAGGTCTGACACGAGAGTGGTATCAATTACTGTCAAGGGTCATATTTGACAAGGGGGCATTGCTTTTCACCACCGTAGGAAACAATGCAACTTTCCAGCCTAACCCTAATTCTGTCTACCAGACAGAACATCTGTCTTATTTTAAATTTGTGGGCCGTGTGGTAATTCTTCTGGACTATTATTGACTTTTTGAAACTGGCCTTATAAGCTTCTTCCGTCTGTGTTAGATTTTTCTTTAACTTTTGCTGCTATGATAATTTATTCAGGTTGCAAAGGCACTTTTTGATGGGCAACTTTTGGATGTTTATTTCACTCGATCCTTCTATAAGCATATACTCGGTGTAAAGGTGACTTACCATGATATAGAGGCTGTGGATCCTGATTACTACAAGAATTTAAAGTGGATGTTAGAGGTTAGCGTGCTTTTGATCACACTCTGATTTTTAAGAGTTCAAGGTTGGATTGGAATGGGTTTCGTTGTAGGTTTTTATATCTTTTTAACTGATCTAAAATGTGTCATATTCGTTTTTCTGAAATTCTGTTTCTGCAGGATTAAGACTCGGTTCCTCTATTGCGTATGTTTCTTTAATTTGATTTTTTTTCTCGTGTCCAGAATGATGTGAGTGATATTCCTGACCTGACGTTTAGCATGGATGCGGATGAAGAAAAGCATATCCTTTATGAGAAAAACGAGGTATTTGAATTTATATGTAACTTTTTAGTTCTGTTCTTTATTAAGCTTTTGGGTTTTCACGTAGTGTTATTGTAAAGTCTTACTTAAATGCCAATCTGATTTTCATTCAATGTTATAACATTAAATTGAGCTCATGGGTTTGCCTAATTTTGTACTTGTTTGTTGTGTTTTCCTTTCTTTCTACCTTCTTGAAAAGGTTACTGATTATGAGCTGAAACCTGGAGGAAGAAATATTCGGGTTACAGAAGAGACGAAGCACGAGTATGTTGACCTTGTAGCTGAACATATCTTGACAAATGCTATCCGACCTCAAATTACTTCCTTCCTGAAGGGGTTTGAGGAATTGGTCCCGCGAGAGCTTATCTCTATTTTCAATGACAAGGAGCTTGAGCTACTTATCAGTGGTCTTCCAGAGATAGATTGTGAGTTGCATTTAAAATGAGCTTATTACATAGTTGATATGGTCTTTTGTTTCTCTTGTGATATCTGAATGGTGGCATTGTCCTTACAGTGGCTGATTTGAAGGCCAATACCGAGTACACTGGCTACACATCATCATCTGATGTTGTTAAATGGTTCTGGGACGTGGTTGAAAGTTTCGACAAGGAGGACATGGCAAGACTACTGCAATTTGTGACTGGAACATCAAAGGTAACTGTTTGTACTACAAAAGAAATATGAAAATAGTATATATACTTCTCCATATCCGCTGGTTCACGACTAAAAGGGATTTTGTATGTGCTTTTGTACTTTCTGAGTGTATGCGACCCCTCTTTTCCCTTGTTCCATCCCTTTTTCCCAACAACCCAACCCCTCCCTTTACAATGTTCATAACTTTTTTCACAGGGTCCGTTGGAAGTGTGACCTACGTTGATTTTACCTTGATATCATTTGTCAATTTCATTTTTGTTTTTTCACAGGGTCCGTTGGAAGTGTGACTTGCGTTGATTTACCTTGATATCATTTGTCAATTTCATTTCCTGTGAACATGGTTTTTGACAATGCGCATGTTGTCTCATTGAACTTTGCCATTGTATAATGATTGGAGATGGCATGCGTAGCTAATGATTTAAATGTATGCTTGCAACATGATGCGTATGTGGGGGCAAATTTTGGTACTCGGTAAAACTAACATATTTGTGACTTTCAGGTTCCATTGGAAGGTTTCAGGGCTTTGCAAGGTATCTCTGGTCCTCAGAAATTTCAGATCCACAAGGCTTATGGAGCTCCTGACAGACTACCTTCTGCTCATACATGGTTAGTGTAAACATAATTTGCTTTGGCCCTGTCTTTCCAAAAATGTTAGTTTCTTTGTCCCCTTCACATTCTCGTCAAGCTCGATGTTTCTAATGCAGTTCTATGTCTTTTTCAGCTTTAACCAGCTTGACCTTCCTGAGTACACCACCAAAGAACAGCTTCACGAACGATTGATACTTGCTATTCATGAAGCTAGTGAAGGATTTGGCTTTGGTTGACAGAAAGAATCTCAGCAGATATTTCCCCAGCATTCCAGTCATCGGTCGTATAGTTAGCATGTACATGTCAGTTCGACATCTTTTGTCCTTCCTTATTTCGAAAACCTTGGTTAATCTTTTCTGAAATCAACTTAAATTGTAATTCGTTTGTTTCTCTCTTATTCTCCACCATTCTTTGCGCAGGTGAAAGAACCGGTTCTGAATTTTGTCTTCCAGAATTACAGCAACTTCTGAGGAAACCGATGGTGGATTTTGTAAAGAATTCCGAAAGCGTTATCTATTGACGGGAGGCCGGCAAGCTCCTCGGTGACAATGGATTGGAATCTTAGAAATTCTTTAGCGGATTCTTTACATGTCGGAAAATTGGGGATTCGGTACAGATGGATGTGGATAGAAAATCTGTTTTGGTGTTCATATTAGATATCTGTTTTAGATTAGTCAGTTTTCACTTTCTCCTACCTGAATGTTTGGTAATAAGCCTAGGAACATATATATGTATAAGTAATTCCAGATGGTTTCTTTTGGGTTTCAATTTATTTAAAGGCGAGAAGGTGATTCCAATTTAGCTCTTCAATTTTATTTGTGCACTCGGACATGCTGACATGCCCTCTAGTTCGTGGTTCTTGCGAGAGAAACTCGTCTGGCTTGGGCAGTATCCTAAGCCAAACCGTGTTTTGACATTCGCTAATGGCAATGCGTGATTAGCTTAGGATACTGTAACAGTTACGTACTCGTTCTTGAAAGTCCTTGTGATTTTCCGGGTTCGTAACCATTTTTCGACAATGCAGTATGCAAGGAGGAATATTTTGGCCAATTTGCCTGACTGACGTATGCACGACACCATCCATAAGGCTTTTTGCCATGATTTTCTGTAATTTTTCTTTGAATGTTCTAGAAAATTATACTTAAAAAAGCTCCACACTTGAAAATTTATTAGGTTTCACGAATGGAGCAAAAATGCTTGATTTTCCATTGACATTTGCTTTGAAATATAGAGTAAAGAAGGGATAAGAAAGGAAGGGCTCGTTCGATATTGCTTTTGGATGCTTTAGGCAACGTACAATGACGTTAGGATTATAAAAACATTTTTTCAGTACTTTTGGGACAAGGTTCTTCGATAAGTACTTCTAAATGCTCTTCCACAAGAAATTGGATTCTTCATGAAGAAAATGGAAGCGTTGTTGCATTCTCGTTTTCACCTCTACACTTCCACGTCCACCCCACCTCAGCCGTACAATTGATCCTAATAACCAGTTTGGCACTCACCTCCTCCTACTCCACTGTGTTCCTAGAGCTATTCTTTCCGGAAATGTCGCAATGTTCGCAAAGACGAGCCAAGGGATGAGCATTACTATCTGCATTTTGACAACCATGCTTTTGATTTGTACTGCAAGCTAGAATTTCCAATTGTTCCCAAGATGAACGAATTAACTCGTGTGGTTGGCATTTGTATTGGGCTGGTGTTCCTTACAGTTGCAGATGATACACTCACTTGGGCTAACACCTTCATAATATTCAACCCATCTATGAGAAATAGGGCCGGCCTAGGCCCAGTGCTGGCACGACGACCGTTTGGGGTCTACACGTGACTTATTTTGACGAAAATTTTAGCGATGTTGACGAAAAGAACCATAGTTGCATATTCTGATGAGTTAAGAGATCAATAATCATAAATTTTAAATTGAAGGATTATTAATCTAATTAGGTTAAAGATAAAAAACAATTGCCATAATTTTCTCAAACTGAAAAAAAAAATACACCTGTGTAGGACATAGGAGATAAGAAAGCAATCAAAATGATAAAATAATATGACCCCACGAAAAATAAAGAGAGGAAAAAGAGGAATCTAACTTTCCTTTTGGGCAGAAAGAAGACGACTTCGTTATGGTCTTTCAACACCTAATTATTGCAGCAAATTGAAGAGATCCAAAGCAGTCCAGATCTGTGGATTTTAATGATCTATGGAAACAAGTCCCTTCATCTTCATCATCATCTGAAAACTCCAACGCAGTAAGTTCCTGTTGCAACTATATATGCCAAATCCATTATTTATTTATTTCATTTTTCTTCAAGTTTGTATGTTTTTTAATTAATTATTTCATCAATAACCAGCTATATAATTTGTGCACTTTTCAGGCTTAATTATTCCATCGTTCAGTCTGGATTTGTTGTTCATAAGTGCAAACAAGTGCCCTCATGACCTGATTGACTCCCATGAAACAGCTTCTTGCTACAGATCATGTCCAATATTCGTGCAAGTTCAAGTCTTGAAACGTAGGATTGCAAGGTAATCCCAAAACTGCCCATTTATTTGTTCAACATGTTAAAATTTAAGAAAAATAATGTATACTAATATATGATTTTTGCAATCATATATGGTATGTTTTATTGTGGTTTTTTACTTAAAAGAGTAATGCTAGAAAAACCACATATTTATACTATATTAGTTTATCATTTCATATTTATACACGAATATAGTATAAACATGTGGTTTTTCTAGCATTACTCTTTAAGTAATAAAGCAAAATGAAACATACCATATATGTCATCTCATATTTATTTTTTATTGGAACATACAATATCAAGTTATTAGAGTACTTGGTAGTACTATATTAGGGACTGTATACCTGGCGAGATGGTTATGATGTAGACAACCTTGATCTGAATCCATCCTGTTGCCATCTCTAGTCCCAGGTTGTCACCTCTAGAAATGCTTACCAGGTTGTCATCATTTTAATTTGTGCAGTTGTGACTATTTCTGAGCCCCAACAGATCAAGCTTCCAACTTTCCAAGAAACTAGTTTTTGACTGTTACTCTTCCCGAACGGAGTCAGATTTAACTTCCAATGTAATTTCTTAATGGTCAACTGAATAATACATTAGTTGTTTTTTCATTTTACTTGAACTACTTTTTATTCATTTGTTTCTTCACTTAATTTGTGCAGTTGTGCACCTCAATATTGCTCAAGGACGGTTCGTTCACTATTTCTTCGACTGCTTGGAGTTCTCTTCGCTCTTAACATGGCACTCGGAGAGGTTTTTCTTGCGGCGTTTCTACAGTTGCTGCTCGACAGGTTGACTCGTCGCGAGGTTCTCAACTATTTTGGAAACTTCCGGGGCGTTGGAAAGAAGCTGGACAAGTGGAGGGCCACGTTATCTACAATCGCAGCGGTGCTGAGTGACGCCGAGGAAAGACAACTGACTGACCATCTTGTAAAACTGTGGCTCGATGATCTCAGAGACCTGGCTTATGATGTCGAAGACATGTTGGACAAATTTGCCACTCAAATGTTGAAGCGTATGATAGAGGGACATGTCAGCGCGAGCAACAAGGTGCGGAACTCACTTTTCAAAATTAAATTCAATTGGGATATGAACTCCGAAATGAAGAAGATTACGGAGCGGTTGCAAGACATATCTGCACGGAAAGTTGAGTTTGGTTTGAAAGATACTGGGACATCTGCTAAGGAATCGCGAAGTCTACCAAGTTCAGACGTGTTAGATGAAAAGCTTCTTGTTGGAAGAGATGGTGACAAAGGGAAAATTATTGAATTGTTGTCAAGCAAATACGAGCATGCAGGTGCTGTCAATTTTGGTGTAGTTGCTATAGTTGGCATGGCTGGAGTTGGGAAGACGACAGTTGCTCAACTTGTATTCAACAACAAAGGTGATGGCATGAAGGATTTTGAGCTCAAGATCTGGGTATCTGTGTCCGATGACTTTGATGTGGTGCGAGTGACAAAGGCAATTCTTGAATCAATCACATCCCGACCCGTTAAAGTGGAGGAGTTTAGTAAAATGCAGCATGATTTGAGTGGGCAATTAAGAGGAAAAAAGTTTTTAATTGTTTTAGATGATATCTGGGACAAAGATGACTATGATCTATACGATCTCTGGACAAGACTTAAATCCCCTTTTGGCGTCGGAGCAGGAGGAAGCAAGATAATTGTGACAACCCGTGACAGGAATGTTGCAAAGATTACGGGAGCCGCTGGAGTTCATAATTTGGAGTGTATGGCAGATGATGATTGTATGGAAATATTTGAGCGACACGCGTTCGGGGAAATTAATAACGGAAAACCAGTAAATTATGAGGTAATTCGGACGAAAATTGTTGGAAAATGTTGTGGATTACCATTAGCTGCAAGAACTCTCGGTGGTCTTTTACGTCGCCAAGAAAAAGAAGAGTGGGGAGAAATATTGGACAACAAATTATGGAATCTAGCAGATAAGAGTGGCCTTCTTCCTGTACTAAAGTTGAGCTATCACTATCTTCCATCACATTTGAAGAGGTGTTTTGCCTATTGCTCAATACTTCCAAATGACTATGAATTTGGGGAGAAGCAGCTCGTCCTTTTGTGGATGGCAGAGGGTTTGATTCAACAAAAACATGACGACAATAAACAAATGGAGGATTTGGGCCGCGACTACTTTCGAGAGCTATTAGCAAGGTCGCTGTTTCAAGAATCAAGCAAAAACAATTCACGATATGTAATGCATGACCTCGTTAATGATTTAGCACGATGGGCAGCAGGTGAAATATGTTTTAGATTGGAAGATAAGCAAGGTGATAACTTGCAAAGCACTTGCTTTCGAAGGGCTCGCCATTCGTCTTTCATTGCTGGTCTATTTGATGGAGTTATGAGATTTGAGGACTTTCCAAAAGCTGAACGTTTGCGAACATTCCTGCCACTTTCACTTTCAGATTCCTGGGGATGGTACAAATATTTGTCTCGTAAGGTTACTTTTGAGTTATTACCACAGTTGCAATACTTACGAGTGCTCTCTTTCAATGGCTACGAAATAACTGAGCTGCCAAAGTCAATCGGTGATTTGAGGTTGTTACAGTATCTTGACCTATCCTACACATTGATATCCAGTTTGCCTAAATCAACAAGCACTCTTTACAACTTGCAAACGTTGATATTGGAAGGTTGTTATAAATTGAAGTCATTGCCTGTGGACTTGAGCAATCTAATTAAGTTGCGCCATCTCAACAACTCAGGTGCATCTTCGTTGGAAGGAATGCCTTCGCAACTAGGTCGATTGACGAATCTACAATCACTGCCTCTTTTTGTGGCGAGCGAAGGTAGTGATCAATCTGGGATAAGAGAGATAGGGCGCCTATCACAGCTCCGAGGGACATTGCGCCTCTCAAGATTGGAGAATGTGACCGATGTCGAGGATGCCAGGAGGGCCAACTTGAAATGCAAGGAGAGGCTTGATTCGTTGGTCCTAGAATGGTCTCATTCAAGCGACACAGGAGAAACTGAATCCGCTATGCTTGACATGTTGCAGCCTCATACAAAGATCAAGGAGCTCACCATCAAGAGTTATGCCGGCAAGGAATTTTCATCATGGGTTGGAGGTTCCTTCTTCTCTAATATGGTGCTTGTGTGCTTAGAGGAATGTAACAATTGTTTATCGTTGCCACCTCTCGGACAATTGCCTCAACTCAAAGAGCTTTATATTAGAGGAATGAATGCAGTGGAAAGTGTTGGTGCTGAGTTTTATGGCGAGTGTGTCTTGGCTTTTCCGCTGTTAGAGATTCTCGAGTTTGTGCGTATGCAGCATTGGAAGGTGTGGCTTCCTTTCCAACTGGATCACGGAAGTGGTGTTTTCCCTTGCCTGAAAAGGCTTTCAATCAAAAAATGTTATAAGTTGGAAGGCAAGCTGCCAGAGAAGCTCGATTTGTTAGCCAAACTTGAAATTGTTGAATGTGAGGAATTGGTGGTTTCGATTGCCAACTACAAACAACTTCGTCAAATAAACATTGACGGTTGTAAAGTGTTGAAACATACAGATGCTAAGGTTGAGTTTGAGTTATTAGAGTCCTTGTGGCTTTCAAACATTTCGGAGGTGATGTCTCTGGAAGCAGGGGAATTGTTCAGGAAGGGATTAAAGAAGGTTAGAGATTTGAAGATTAATGGATGTGAGAAGCTGACATCTTCATGGAAGAATGAGGGTAGATTATTGCAGCGGTTGACTAGTCTTGGCCGTTTGGAAATTGAAGATAACTCTCGTCTAGTTGAAGAATTGGGAGAAGAAGCAGAGGAGTTGCTGCAATTGGAAATATTGGAGTGCAAGCTTGAATGTCTGGAGTTAAAAAAGTGCGAAAATCTTTTGAAGCTACCAAAAGGGTTAAATCAGCTGTCGTCTCTTCAAGAGCTTCGCATATATGAATGTTCATCTCTAGTTTCTTTTCCAGATGTTGGTCTGCCACCTTCTCTTAAAGACATCGACATTAGAGAGTGCCATTCGTTGATATATTTTGCAAAATTCCAGATTCCCCAAAATCTCAGAAGAATATTTATAAGTGATTGCAAAAGTTTGAAATCACTAGTAGATGAGGAGGAATGTGAACGACTGGGTTTAATAGCACCGAACGGGTTCTTCAGGGACAACACCAATCACTGCCTTGAATATATTGAGATCTGTATGTGTGAAAATCTGAAATCCTTACCGGATGGCTTATGCCACCTCAGCAATCTTCAAACTCTAATTATTGAGTACTGTGGAAGTCTTGTTTCCATCCCGAGACTGAGTGGGGGGAGAAGACCCTCCAACCTGAGAGAGATCATTATCAGAGATTGCGAGAAATTGGAGGCGTTGCCCGAAGACATGCACAATCTCAACTCTCTTGAGGAATTGACCATCGACTACCGTGAAGGTTTGACTTTTCCTCCCAACCTCACGTGGCTTTCAATTTGCAAGGTCAAGAGCTGTAAGTCATTGTGGGAGTTGGAGTGGGGGTTGCACAGACTCACCTCTCTTAGAAATTTGTGGATAAGTGGTGAAGACCCGGATACGGTGTCGTTTCCACCCGACATGGTACGGATGGAGACGCTCTTCCCCAAATCTCTCACTAGCCTCTCAATAGAAGGCTTCCCGAATCTGAAGAAACTGAGCAGCAAGGGCTTTCAATTCCTCACCTCCCTTCAATTTCTGCGGCTCTTCAATTGTCCAAAGCTAGCATCCATTCCAGAGGAGGGTCTGCCTCCTTCACTAGAGAGACTCTGGATCGATGGGTGTCCAGTGCTAAAAGAGAGATGCCAACCAGGAAAAGGACGCTACTGGCACAAAATATCCCACATCCCTTGCATATGGATAGATTGAAACGAGATATGAAGATGATGGTCCGGGTATCATTTTCTCGAGGAATGTTTTAATATTAATATTATTATTATTAATAATCATGTTTATTCTTGTAAAGTAAAGTAATCCACAATATTTGGTTTGGGTCAAGGTTTTGGGGGTTGAGGAGTGGCTGCTTTGGGAGGCCTTCAATAGGCGACAACTTGGATATTTCTCGGCCAACGTTTATTCTCATGGATTCCTATATTTGCTTTTTTTTATTTTTTATTTTTGGGTAAACAATTGGTATGTTTGCTTGGTCCCTTTTCACTGATTTGTATTATAACTTTATAAATGTGCTACCTTTTCTCCTAGGTATAGAGTTTTTCCCATTCAGTTTTTTCCCAGCAAGATTCTTTTTTTTTCGGGCGTCTCCATCCGTTGCCAATTGGTTTCGGGTTGGATGCTCGAATTGTAATAGAATAAAAGGTATTGTTGTTTTTTTCTTGTCGTTCGTTGTTTGAGTGGGGAATATAATCTTTATACAAATTGCTTCTTGATGGTGTTTATGACTGGTTTCTGTATTTACTTTTAATGCTTAGTATATTAATGGCATCGCGTACTTCCTAAGATTTCATGGTCATGTGTTTGTATGGTTCTGTATGTATGTGTGCGATCTTCATCCCGACTTTGAATGCATAAACTAGCTGGATGGAGAGGTTTTGTTGTTATTGCCTTGCCCAAAACAAGGATTTCATTGAGGGCTAAATAGATTTCTTTTAACTGGGTTAGAGTTCTTATGTGGTCGGCCAAGTGCTTTGTGAAAAATGGATTTATGTTGTCTAAATAGTTGTGTTTCAATTGCCTTTTCTGAGCTTCTTCCTCCCTGTCTGATATCTATTTTCTATCCTTTTTCATAGGATGTTAGCTCCATGGTGACATGGTGTGCTGGTTGCTCTATGTTTGTATATTCTCGTGTTTTTCATTACAATGTTGAACTCAGTGAAATGCTAGTACTTGTACTTCGAGCCTCGACTAGAAAAAAACGTCGCGTGTACTCGGGATTTCTCCGGGATGCCTTGTGATATTCTGACATTGCTGGATGCTGGCTAGAGATGAACATTTTTCCTTCGGTTTGTCTGCTAACTTACAGTCCAAGAAGAAGTTGCTTATCACAACATGTTGCCAATGTTCATGGATATATACAGTTATTTTATTGAGTTTCTTTGAAATTGTTTGTGATATTTTCATGCCAAATAGGACGAGAAGAAAATTTCATATCTCAGTTTTTTAGCTCATAAGATTTATGTCTCTCTCGTCACGAGACTTTTACAATAATTTTTGCTCCTAAAGTCTATCAAAATAATAATATTTTAGTAGAGACTAGTAGTTTATTACTGTAAATTTTGTGTTCAACTGAAAGCAGCAAGAACAATGTGTACGTTTTTCTTTTCTTTTTTCCCAAAGAATTTTTTATCCTCTTCCTCTGCAATCCTTACATGCTGGTTTGGCAGTAAAATAAGAGTTTCAGAGCATAAATTAATATAGCTCTGTGACTAATTAAGTAGTATAACTCCAAAATGGTAAAGCATAATCCATGATAACTTTGGTAAATCTGGTGTCGGCAGGATCATGTTCTTCTTCTTGGTGTTGTTTGGCTCAGGTTGTTTCAGTGTCTTTTACTGTTTTAAATTGATTCTCGATATTATCTACAATGGCCTACAAAAAACTGAACCAAACACCCTCACAAAATAATATCATTGGTGTTGAAAGGGAATATAGCTCAGTTGTTTACCAGCAGTCACCTTTCCACCCGAAGTTTCACGTTTGGTTCCCCCAAAATCGTTCGTATAACCGTGTAGGACATTGGCGATAAGAAAGCGATAAAAAGGAGAACAATATTACCCCGCAAAAATTAAGGATAGAGAAAAAAAAGAGGATTCTAACTTTCTTTATGGGCAGAAAGATGAAGGCTTGTTATATTCAACACGTAATCGTCATAGCAAATTGAAGAGTTGTGAAGTAGTTGTCGTCGAAAGAGGAAGACTTGTTATAGTCTTTCAAGTCAACACCTAATTATCATAGCAAATTGATCTGTAAAGTAGTCTGCAAAAACTCAAATTCCATTTAAACTACCTGTTTTATTAAAGGGATGTGCTATCCATACATCTATTTTTACTTCTCACACACCTCTTATTAACTTTTGTCATTTGATCTACTTCATTTCATGTGATCCAACGGTCGAAAATTAAAAAAGTGTGTGAGAAGTAAAAAGAGATGTGTGGATATCACACCCTTTTACTAAATCCTAAATTGTATAACTCCTTCAAATATATCAACGGCGAATATGGTATATTCTATAAACCATCCGAGAGAGCTCTCAGCAGACAATGACCATATTTAGGGAATGACTAGACACATATAGGGGTGTCATCATGATTAACAATACAATTTATGTTTAAGTTTCTCTCCACGTACATCGTGTTAACTTAGTTTTTGTACTTTCCTAGCATTTTCGGGTTCGTGCATTTTCAGCTTTTGGGTAGTGGAAAAGTCAAGTTGCTGGGAGACTTATTAGTAAAAAGCAAATTCACACGGCAGGACATAAATCT